CCAACAGAGCAGCATGATCATATCTGCGCGTTTAAACTGATGGCTGTTGCCACCGAGCAGAGAGACAGGCCTGAGAGACGTTAAGAGCCTGGGAAGCAAGAGATGACAGTGGTTCAGACTTGGAGAACTGCGGGAATGACAGTTCAGATTTGAGTCCTAGTAGGCAGGCCCCTGAAGATGGGATGGATGGTGGATGGGATGCTGGGGGGGCCATTCCTGAGTCAGACGACTCCAACTGCCGTTTTAGTTCCCCCGGTGCTGTGCAAATTCAGGCAAGATATTTCAATCATGTAGGCCTATTCCTTCCACTTTCTCTGGAGAAGCAGTCCTGTCAGCAATGAAGGATGAGGACTCAGGAGTCAAGACTGCAAGAGTCCAAATTCCAGATCAGCCCCTCACCAGCCTTCTGACGTTGGGTTACTTAAACCTCTCTGGGCCTCAAAAACCTCCACTGGCATGGGGTGGGCACAGTACTTATTTCAGAGAATTAAATAACCATGAATGCTGGGTTGACAGAGCCTGGCACATAGGAAGTGCTCAGTAAATGCTGGCTCTTCCTACGAACTCTTCAAGAGTGAAAATCCAGTATTGCCTGGTTAGCGACCAGCAGTGTTTCCTGCAGGCTCTCACTGACCGGATCTGAGGGGCTGATAATCATCATCCGATCTCATTCATCAGCCAAATGATTATAAAGAGGTTTTTATAATCCAAGCGTTCGCCCATCATGCCACTTTCCTGCTTAAACCCTCCGACAGCATCTCATTGCTTCTTCAGGTGAGAAGTCTGAGAAAACTTCTCATAACCTGGAGCTGTGCCCATCCTGCATCTTCGTATCTCTCCTCCCCTCCACTCTAGTGCTTGTTTCAGTTCTTCAAAGCCTTTCAGGTGTCCGGTTCTCTCCGCCCAAAATCACCCTGCTATCGTTCCAAGCCTCATTTCTCTGGATTTCCCCACTCCACACCATGGATGATTCTGACGCCTGGAGGGGTTATATCTACACTAATAAAAGAGAAACATGCAAATTGGCCATCACTCCACTACACCCACCAGCCAATCAGGATGAGTATGCAAATTAACCCAACAAAGATAGCGGGTTAATTTGCATACACAGGAGCAGAGCAAAGACTGAAGAGGACTGAACACTGAAGAGGCTTGGCTTCCCGTATGCGGCCGGACCAAAGGCCTGGGTCCCGGCGGAAAACAGGTGCTGGCAGCCAGGGGAAGGAAGGCCTATTGCACGAATCTTCGTGCAACGGGCTTCTAATATATATATATATAGTGCCTTTCTAGAAAATAAAATGATGTCAACAGCTGAACTTCATGAGGCAGCTGCCACTCCAGGGCAGTTAACCTTCATTTCTGATCATATAACGAAAGCTACGGGGCTACTTCCCAAGAAACACCTAGGCGAAATTCGGAGTGAATTTTCGGGGCGTTTAAAATACTCCTGCAGTCCGACTTTGAATTCCAGGTTGAAAGGGCAAGGTTCCTTGGCCTGGCATGGAGACGATTTGGTTTAACCACCACAGGCAGCTGTGGGACCTCACGAAAGGGGCCTACACTCCCGGGCCTCAGTGTCCTCTGTAAGCCCGCGAAGATGGAGTATGTCCCCCACAGGTGGGCGCCAGGACCAATCTTCCCCCAACACACGAGCGCTGGAAAGGGCCCAGCGCGGGAGATAAACGGGAGAGCGGAGCCGGCGCGAGCGACCGACTCGGAAGCACGACCCCCAGTGCAGAGGAGTGAGCATGCGCGAAGTGCTGAGCATCCGCAGAAGCTCCGACCCGCCCCGACCCTCCAGTGCTCTCAGGGTACCGCCTCCTGGGGACGCCTGCCGGCCCCTTCCGTTCCGCGTGTGCCCGGCCTTTACCTCTACAGTTGGTATTGGCGCAGCTAGCTGCTCCGGGGTCAGGTTCCCAAATTCCTCCGCAAGCACGTCCATGCTGCTCACGGCGAAAGAAGAAGCCAACAGGAGCCCCACACGCCAGCCTCCGCCGGCTGAAGCAAGCTGCTGCACCCGTGGGGAGCGGTGCGCGTGGCCTAAACCGTCCCCGCCGCGCAGGTTGATGGAAGGCGCGACAGAAAGGTTCCGCCTGCTCCCAGCCTGAACCTGAGGTGGCACCCGGATGTGGCTGAAGCGAAGCTGGGAAACTGCGCCCCCTAGTGTCGCTCGGAGGTCTCGCCGGGTAATCCTAAACCCCACAGGACTGGTTCATTGCCAGTTACCCAGTAATTGAGACCAATAGAGCATATTGGTTGTAATTTTAAAAATAATTCAGAGAAAGGGGCAAACGGATAATTTGCGAAACGTGAGCCACCGAGGCAGGGAACTTACGTAATTTAATCCACAACGACACGTTGTAAATTATGGAAAAATAGGGAATTTACCAAATGCCTAGTAGTAGGGGACGGGATTGGTTAAAAAAATATAATGCGTGCATGTGATAGAATATTATACAACTATTAAAATGACCATAAAATGAGGAGGTATTAACTCACTTAAGAGTAGAGTACAACAGAACGGTAATTAAGACTGTTAAATTGTAAAAGGTCTGGATATAAGGTCCAGGAATAAATATCAGCACATAGGGAACTTGAGTATGAAGAGATAACATTTTAAATCAGTAGGGGGAAAATGAGTTATCTAATAAATGATGTTAGAACAGTTGATTAGCCATTTAGAAAAAAAAGTAAATCCTATATAGATTAAATGTTAACAAAACATTAGAAGAAAATGCAAGTGAATATATGCATAACATTGTGGTGATGAGGGCCTTCGAGGGTGGCAACACAGTCAGAAATTATAAAGGGAAAATATTCATAGACTTGGCAATATAATTCTCATCGTAGTTTCATGATTCCATTAAAAACTTTAAGTTTTCTGAACAGATTTTTAAAAATCACCATGAATAAGAATTGTTTGGTTTTTTTTAAACAAACACAAGTTGATAAAAGACAAAGGCTTGGTTTCCCTAATTTAAAATGAACTCATGCTCTGGCCAAGTGTCCCAGTTGGTTGGAGCATCATTCCATGCACACCCAGCTCGTAGGGAAGGCAGCTGATGATGTTTCTCTCTCACATTGATATGCTCTCTGTCTCTCTCTTCCTCTCCCTCTCTCTCCCCCTCCCTTCCTCTCTCCCTTTCCCTCACCCTCTCCCTCTTTCCTCTCTAAAATCAGTAAAATCATATCCTTGGGTGAGGATCAAAAAAAAAATGAACTCATGCAAATCAATAAGAAAAAAATATCCCACTGGGAAAAACGAAGCCAAAGATACCAACAGTTGTTTAATGTGTGAGGAGTTTCCTTTTAGGAAGATGCAAAAGTTCTGGAGATGGGCGATGGCGATGGTTGCACCACCATGTGGATATACTCATAGCCACTGAACTGTACACTTGACATGGTAAGTTTTATGTATGTTTTACTACAGTAAATTACAAAAATTTGTTAAGTATGCATTTGCCATTTTCTCATGAATGTATAGGCCTCACACCAGGCTAATTTCTGAATTAGCGACTTCAAGTAAATTTTAATGCCTGTATCTTCTAAGTATGGGGCCGACTGACATCTGGAAGAATCAGCTTCTGCTCCTGAGGATGTTACACTTCACTTAGAGACATACACACTTTTCTGTCATCCTTGTGAATTCGCAGAGAGCAACCTATGTGGAATCTAGACTGGAAGGGACTGTAAAGTGATTTTCTTGGTAGCAGAGATGTCATGGTTGTCTCAGATGTGTTGGCTTTCCCTTGGCTTCTACCATTAGCCCGCCTCACCTGGAGAGCTTGTTAAAACAACCTTGGCTTTCTGACTTGGTAGGTTTGGTCTCTGGCCTACAGATAGGCATTTCTCATCAGTTCCCAGGTGATCACACTTTGAGAATCACTCTCTAATGTGAGACGTATCGATACCATATCCTCTGTTCACGTCTAGCTCTCCTTCAGGCAGGGGGCTTCTGGGACAGGGGCCATCTTGTCTGTCTTTGTTGTGTTCTAACCCACTGTTTGTTCCTCAAGAAATTTGTGTGGAAACAGTAATTTGAAAGAAAAACATGCAGTGAATGATTTAAAAATTCAACACTAAATTTCACATTTTTTTAAATCCTAATTTTTTTTTTCTCTTGAAAAGAGGAGGGTGTGGTGGACATGGTCCCAGAGTCCTTCATGGCAATAGTTGGCTGACACTGAGCAGTGTTAGCCCTTAGACCACAGCTACCATAATCCTTTATGACAGTGGTTCTCAACCTGTGGGTCGCGACCCCTTTGGGGGTCGAATGACCCTTTCACAGGGGTCGCCTAAGACAATCGGAAAACATATATATAATTACATATTGTTTTTGTGATTAGTCACTATGTTTTAATTATGTTCAATTTGTACCAATGAAAATACATCCTGCATATCAGATATTTACATTACAATTCATAACAGTAGCAAAATTACAGTTATGAAGTAGCAACGAAAATAATTTTATGGTTGGGGGTCACCACAACATGAGGAACTGTATTAAAGGGTCTCGGCATTAGGAAGGTTGAGAACCACTGTGCCGGAAGCCGGTCCATCCTTGCTGCTTGACACAGTCGCTTCAGGGAAGAAACATCTGCACAGCATATGTTTCAAGGGACCTGGCGTATATGGCATACTGTTCTTAATATGTTTGCTCCCCTTCCTGGCGCTATATGTTTTAACCAAGATCACCTCTCTGAGAAAGATTTTTTCCCCAGGTAGGGATTTTTCCCTGAAGTTAGGGAGGGAATAAAACCCCTTAACTAAGTGCCAGGCCGGTAATTAATCACTTTAACTACGATTAAGCCACATAATCTTTACCCCCTGGAATGGAGATAAGAAACGCCCTAACCTTTGGAATAGAAATTGACAGGATTAAAATCAACTGGTATAAATACAGATGTAACAAGACAATAAAACATAGAACCTGGGCAGTTTTGAGCAAGCCACAGGCTGTGCGCGTGTCAGGAGTGGGCCAGCAACACAGCTCAGCAGCCATGGGGGAGCCTGGATCAATCATGAAGACAAACCAGCCTTCTCTGGGAAAGCTCCAGAGAAACTTGATGCCCCACACTTTAGCGAAGAAGAGACAACTGGTTTCAGCCATGAGCAAGCGGAGACGTCGGAAACGGACTGAACATCCAATGAGGCTGACCAGCTGCATTTTCAAAAGTGCAGTCACCAAGGTGACTGCCCATCCTGACAATGTGGTCAGGCACAGGCAACAGGAGGAGACCTTGGAGAAGCCCCAGCAGATGAGTGCCTACAGGAGACTGCAGGGGCTCCAGGCCTGCAGCAGTGAAGGGGAACTTCTAAATACTTTGGATGTGACAAATGTGATGAGAATAACTGCACCAGGAAGTGCGGGCGAATCCCTGGGCCGTGCTGGTCCTGGGTCTCTGCACACCAGTCCCCAGCCCAGCGCAGCACAATTGTTACATGAGGTAGAGATGATCCCAGGAGCAGGTCTCTGGGGCCCACAGCTTCTGTGCAGGCGACTGGTCACCCGTGGAGACATCCAGAGACAGAATCTCAGAGTGAGGAAAGCAAGAGAGAGACTGGCTGCGGCTTTGAGGGAAGACAGGCTGGCCAGGGAGGCAGAGAGCCAGGAGTGAAGAAGAATGTTTTGATTTCATGCAAATCTGACTTCAGTGAACTTGCTATTATATCCCATTCTAACATAAATTGTATCTTTGTTTTAATTTAAGTAATTAATTGTTGTTTGTTGTATAAACCTCATGTGAGGATATTTTTATTTTGCCAAAATTCTAATTCATACATAAGACATACTATATAATAAAAGGCTAATATGCAAATTGAAAAAGAAACAAACAAACAAACAAAAACCACAGAACCTGGCTGGAGATCCTGGCTAGATAACCTAGCTAGAGAACCTGGCTAGATAACCTGGCTAGAGAACCTGGCTAGGCTGCTGATCAACTGAACACTGTCTCTGTGTCATTCCTTCTTCGCCGACTCCATCCACACCTTTGGGAACCCCTGGACCTGCTGGGGTTGGACCCCAACACAACTGCTTTATGATATCTGGCTGGGCCCCGAGGTATTGGCATTGGCACCCCCAGAGGAAATCCATGACTTCTTTCTGATCTCCTAAGGCAGGGGTCCTCAAACTACGGCCCGCGGGCCACATGCGGCCTGCCGAAAATATTTATCCGGCCCGCCGGGTGTTTTTGCCGCCGCTGCCTGTTGCTTAGCAGCCAACTAGTTTTTTTTTTAAAACTATAGTCCGGCCCTCCAACGGTCTGAGGGACAGTGAACTGGCCCCCTGTTTAAAAAGTTTGAGGACCCCTGTCCTAAGGGGAAAAAATCCAGAAAAATCAGAAACCAAAAAGCCAGGAACAGTCTCCTGACTTCTGTGTCTTCTGCTGCCACATCCATTTCCTGAGGTATTGGTACAAAATGAGTGGTGGTTTGAATAGAGGGCTGAGCAATTCGGGAAAGGGAAATGCCAAGGGAAAGTGGTTGGTATCTTGGACTACTCCATCCCTTATGTGTCAAGTGTTTGGGTAGCCAGGTGAGAAAGTGACCAATGACGTCAGGGGGAAGAGCAGCGACATTGGTTAAAAGAGAATAAAGGAAAGGGGAAAACAGAGGTGTCCAGGCTGGGCCCTGAGACATTGGAGAGAGCGTCCGTTTCCTGAGTGTTTACTCTTGGCCAGACATTGGAACCCCCACTCTGCATGCATGCTCTGACTGAATGATGGACGCCTGGGGGATAAGTAGGATGATCGCCACTTGACAGGTGAGGAGACTAAACGCTCATAGGGTTAAGAAATTTGCCAAGCAGAGTAGGGATTTATAATTATCTGATGTCAGAGCCCGTGCTTTTAGCCATGCTGAAAGGAGGTGGTGGGAGACGTTTCAAGCAGAGAAAAGCAGCCTGAGCAACGGCGGGGGGCTTTCGATGACAGAATGCCGCATCCTGGTGATGGAGTATGGTTCTCCCGTAGAGCTGCCAAGGGCTGTATTTATGGATGACGCTAGCAAAAATCCACTGGGACTGAACCATTAGTGGCTTTTATGCCACGTTAAAGGTAGACCTTCTGAGAGGCTGCAAAAGGCAGAGACTAGAAACAAAAGAAAAAAGTTATCCTCTCTTCAAAAGCTCTGTGCATTCAGGCTGGGAAAATCTGTATGGACTTGATTCTGTAGCCGAATAAATTCATAATAGAACTAGAGAAGACCAGAACAATGTTGGAGAACGGATAAGGGCTCTTCAGTGTGACAGACAAGGGCGGGGGGCGGGGGGCGGGGGGGTCCTTGAAGTCGGTCATTTCACAGGCAGCAAGGTGAGGAGGAATACAATCAGAAGCCTCTACGGCAGTGGTTCTCAACCTTCTGGCCCTTTAAATACAGTTCCTCATGTTGTGACCCAACCATAAAATTATTTTCGTTGCTACTTCATAACTGTAATATTGCTACTGTAATGAATCATAATGTAAATATTTGATATGCAGGATGGTCTTAGGCGACCCCTGTGAAAGGGTCGTTCGACCGCCAAAGGGGTTGCGACCCACAGGTTGAGAACCGCTGCTCTACGGCAAGCAGAGAACATTCTGCATTTTGAGTAAGACTGGGTGGTCCAAACACCTCCAGCTGCCTGCCATACCCACAGGCCTTGCTCCAAAAAGCCTTGCTTTGCCTCCTGTGACGTTGTCATCCTGCCCAAAGCAGTGGGACCAGGAATCTGCCAAAGACAGTCCCGTAAGGGAGCTGAGGTGGTTTGTCATGAGGTCCCCTACCCATTGAGGGGCAGTAGGACAGGGGCTGTCCATACTGAATAGTGGCAGGTAGACCCAATCACATTCTCTCTCCTGGGACTTTTTCATGAAGATGAACCAAAAGAGAGAGCAGCAACAGAAAGCAGGAGCAGAGAAATAAATATCAAGTCAGCATTTGGTAGCAACATGACAATAAGAAGTAAATTTTCTGCCCTAGCTGGTTTGGCTCAGTGGATAGAGCATTGGCCCACAGACTGAAGGGTCCTGGGTTTGATTCTGGTCAAGGGCAAGTACCTGGGTTGCAGGCTCGATCCCGGGCCCTGGTCAGGGAGTGTGCTGGAGGCAACCAATCGATGGGTCCCTCTCACATCGATGTTTCTCTCTCTGTGTCTCTCCACCTCTCTTCCACTCTCTCTAAAAATCAATGGAAAAATATTTACGGGTGAGGATTAACAACAGCAAAAAAAAAAAAAAAAAAAAAAGAAAAAGAAAGAAATTTTCCTTTGGTGACCTAAGGAAACCAATGTAGCAAATAGTTAAGAGCATGCATTCCAGGGGTCACCTCTTTAAGTTCCAATATACTTAACAGCTCTGTGACCTTGGATGACTGCCTTAGCCTCTCTCAGTCTCATTTTGCACAAATGGAAAAATGAGAGAGCCTGCCTATTACGCAGATATATGAGACCATTTCTATCAAGTGCTTAGGGTAGTCCTTGCCATATGGTAAGTGCTTGGTGGCTGTTACTATTTTATTCTATTCTGAAGGGGAAAAGTTATATTCAGGTTCTCCACCAAGTCTGCCAGCGCAGCTGTTGGGACAGATTCCTGGGTTTCCTTTCTTTTTCCTAAAGCCTCCCACCCAATCCCTAGGTCCCTTCCTTTGAAATCCGAAAGAGGCTAACATAGTAAGCTTAGAAACGAAAAGATAAAGCTTCACTTCAAAAACAGAACAAGAGGGAACAAGTGGATAATACAAAGCTACTTCTCAAACGTTCGATTAAATCATGGAGGATAAAGTCACGTTTGATTCATGAAAGGAAGTCAGAACATGTTGGGTTTTGTCACTTATCCTTTGAAGTTGACATCAAGGACAATCACCGCAGCCTTCCACATACCCTTGAGTTTCTCTGCCAATGCCAATATTGAGCTTAATGAGCCATTGTTCTGATGAGATACGACAATTTTTGTTCTTGTGTACGTAAGTACTTAATCGTTGCATCTCACTAGACTAAAACCTCGTGAAGCTTGAAAGAGATTTAGGACTGATAAATTACAGTTATTATAACGCATTCTGGCTGCATTGTGCTTCAGGATTTGCAGACAGTTGCAAGTACATTATCTCTTTTGATTCTCACCATATCTCTGTGAGGTAGGCGGGCAGTAGGTTAGGCAGGTGTAAGGTAGGCAGCTTCCATCTGGGAGGTTAAGGGAGATAAAAGACTGGCTGGAGTTCACATAGCTGTTAACTAGCGAAAGTGAATTCCACCTCAGATCTTGTGACTCCCAGTCCCATGCTACTTTTACTAAAGGAGTGGAAAATTCTGTATCTTAACATCCTCAGAGGTAGAACAGGCTTAACTCCAGTTTCAAAAAGGTCAAATGAGAAATAAAAACATGTTGCACAAGAGGTGGCGTTCCCCATGCCCGTGGCATACTTTACCAACCGGACCCAGAATTCTCTACTGCTTGTCCTGGGGCTGGCTTCAGAATCATCTCAACATAGTGCTCTGGGGAGCTACTGGAAGATCAGAACAGACACACGATTATAAACTTATTTTCATGAAAAGAAGGTTCATGGGGCATCTTCAAGAAGCTGGATGCTTGCGAGTATTCATGTCAGCCTCTTTCTCCTGGGCACATTTTCCTGCCTCCCTTGCAGTTAGATGAGGCCATGGGATTGGGTTCTGGAATGGGCCATGTGTGGAAGTGGGCAATTTTTTTCTTTCCCCATCTACCGAGTGAAGGGAGAAGACTCTGAAGATGTAGGGTTCAGCTGAGTCACAAGGTGGGTGGAAGTGGGTCTTTGGCTGAATGATTAACCCCAACCCCCAAGCAACATACCCCCTGCTTTGAACTATAACTGGAGAAATAAGGCTATACTGAGGCCACCATGACTTGGGAGCCTTTGTTCAGCAATAAAGGCTGACTTCTTGTGATTATGCCCTTCCTTGAATCATCTTTTGGTGTCATTCTCAGAGGCAATGCTGGACTAGGCGGTCTCACACATTTCCTACTTTCAAATTTTAAAGACCTTACGAATGTACATTGTAACGGACTTGTTTTTCTCTTTCTGCTCCTCACGATCCCCTTCCAACTTAGGAGAAATCCCTAGTTGGGTGACTTTGTCGGGACCACGGGAGTCTAAGGATCAGCTACTCCCTCATTCCATCCCCTGCAAATCAGAGTCTGGGCACTTACTTGACTTAGTTCCTTCCAACTGAATGTTGATATTTGGGATGCTAACTCTTAAGCAAGAAGCAAGGACAGTTGAGAATGCAATCTCCGAAGCCACACACCGGATCCAGTCTGGCTGGCGTCCTGCCGCTTGCATTGCCTTGGTTCTTACCCATTTCCCAAGCCTGATTCCCCAGGTCAAGTAGATTCTGTGAGGTGCTCAGAACCTACCCAGTAAACCCCGTCTGCCTCGGTGAGCCAGCGTCTGCTTCTCCTGCCTGTACTCTGTGCTCATGTGTAAGTACATGTATGCATATGCACACAACCCAGGACTATTCCAGCACCAGCAGCAAGTGTTCTTTGCCAGGGCACTCTCTCCAAAACAGTCATTTGTTGGTAACCTTCTCCTGGTTCAGAAGATTCAGTGATTCTTTATCTTAGGACAAAACCCACACATTTTAGCATGACACCCCAGAGCC